TATATGGATACAGTATGAGTGTATATTTTATACACTGAGTTTTCTGTAATATACCCCCCTTCCCACTTTGTCTCCTTTGTACGTTATCAGAGGTGGAGAGGATAGAATTGGAGTCCTGGCCAGTTTGTTTATTAGTTCTTCCTGTGTCTCTTAATCACTCTCTCTGGTAGGGATTTAACTCTTTCCAGTCAGGATTTGCCAGAAGCCCCCCTAAAATGCTTACCTTTTCCTGACAGTCCCCTAACATTCCATATGAAATTATTTGAAGAAATAATAATAAAAAAGCTGGATGTGGTGGGGCACGCCTGTAATCCCAGCACTTGGGAGGCTGAGGCAGGAGGATCGCTATGAGTTTGAGACCAGCCTGGGCTACATAGTGAGTTCGGTCAGTCTCAACTACATAGTGAGACCCTGTCTCAAAAAAACAAAATAAATAAATAAATAAAACGAATAATAGTAGACCAAAAAACTGAGTGAAAATTTTTAGATATAGGTATAGATACATATACGTGTGTAATAAAATGAAATTTAAATACAAAATAGTACAGCACAAACCACAAAGGAAAGTAGTGATAATTTTTAAAAGTTGTATTAATTCAGTTTTAGAGAAAAAAAATCTACATATTAGTTTATCGCAATATTAATATGTTTCTTTTCTGAAGCTAATATTTGAATATTCGTCTATGTCATCAAAATTTAATATTTCTGCATATTCAATAGGTAGTTTAAGCAAATTTATCATTATCTTTGTTCATGATTGAGGAACACTTTCATTTTAATAACAATGAAGTTTTTTTAATAACAATTCGTTTTAATAGCAATGAAGTTTTTTTCCATTAAACAACAGATATGTCAATAGGAAAAGTCCTAAAATTCTGATTAAAGTTGGGATGAATTCACAAAAATCCAAAACTCTAAGTATTAAAAAACCATCCATGTCTTTGTTTCTTTACAATAATATCTAAGGGAATTTCAATTCTTGCAATGAAAATTTCAGCCAAATTATCTTCAGAAAATTATAAATTTCTATCATAGTTGCTAAAATTTTAAGAAATTTTTCTTCTTTAAGAATCTGAAAAGCTGGGCATGGTGGTGCACTCCTATAATCCCAGCACTCACTCGGGAGGCTGAGGCAGGAGGATCACCATGAGTTCGAGACCAGCCTGGGCTACATAGTGTAAAAAAAAAAACCAAAACAAAGAATGTGAAAATGGCTAAATGGCTCAATGAAAATTTGGCAGCATTTGTCTGTGCCTTAGAACAAGTGTCCAGTGCTTGCTTGGTCTAAATGATCAAGAAAGCAAAACCTTTTGGTTTCTGGCAGTCGGATAAAAATTTTTTTTCTCACTTATCCTTCTGTTATTCCTTAAATTTTAATTTTTAAAGTCTAAATATCCATTTCTTTGTATTATGCTACCCTCAAAGAATAATTTAAAGTTTATTTCTTCACTGTGAATTTTACAAGTACTTTTTGTCTAATAAACCTTATTAAAAATTTTATACCAGAAAAATCAAATTCAGTAACACTTTTCATATTGAATTGTTTCATTTTCCAAACAGAAATATTGCTTTTTTGTTGTTTTATTTTGTTTTGTTTGGTACTGGGGAACAAATTTAGGACCTTGTGCTTACAAGGCAGGCATGGTGCCACTGAGCTATATCCCAGGTTCTTGCATGTTTAAATTCACACACTGTTTCACTGTTTTAAATGTTTTACAAAAATCACTCCAACTCATCACATACAATGGTAGAAAGGAAATAATCCAGGTTTTCTTTCTGTCTTTTACAGTCACCATGTTATCATTGTTTGCTTAGAATCTACTATTAAAAAGCGAGGATATGTAGTACCACTAGAGACAGAGACATAATATGTAACACAGGCAAATTCTAATTTTAGAAAATAATTTGTGAACTTATGCTCTAAAAAAATATATGTAGTTCACTCAACATTTGCTCAACTGCATGTATAAGTGAATTTTCCAAACTAGCATTCTTGAAAACTACAATGTCTGTTAGAATGTCATAAAAGTGTGCTACTCTGAAGGTTACAAATATATATACGATTAAAACTCAACAGTGATGAAAAAACTTTAGAATTTAAACCAAACAGCGATCAAAGGGTAGTATGGAGTATTTCATCGCTGACATTTGACAGAATTGCCAAAGCACAGTGATGATAAAAGGCAGCTAATAAGATATCCCATGAAATCTGTGCCAGTTATTTGGTGATCCTGGGTATCTTCACTGTTATTGTGGATTCCTGTACCATCTAGAACAATGGGCATACCCTTGACTTTGTTATCATTAGGAGAACTAATTACCTCTGAAATTTTAAATTCATATATTTTCTCCTCTAAGCTCAATTATTAGCCTGGGAGTTCTTTGATCCATATCATTTCTTTGGCTTCTTCAAGATCTATAAACTTCCATGTCTGTACTAGCTATCTTTCTCCACACAGTAATTTACTCCAAATTTATCAACAGGAAAAAAATGAACATTTATTATTTCTTTGCTTCTGTGGGTCAGGAATTCAGAAATGATTTAGTTTAATAATTTTACTTTGTGTTCTCTGATGAGATTGTACAGAAAATATAGGTTAGAGCTGTATTTATCAGAAAGCTTGAATAAAGCTATAGGATTCACTTCCAAGAGAGTTCAGTTATAAGGATATTGAGAGATCTCAGTTTTTTGTCATATGAATTTCTCCATAAATTTGTTTGCATATCCTCATAACAAAACAGTTAATTTTCTAAGTGAGTGATATAAAAAAATAGAAAAGAAGTAGCTGCAATTCCTTTTAAATCTCAATCTTGGATGTCACACTGTTATAATTTTGGTCTAGATGTTCCCCCAAAGCCTCAATGCAGTCATAGGTGGCTGAATGAATAGTGTGCGATGGTAGAATTAAGCATGATTACTAAACCACTGCACGTGAGTGATTGGTTTGACACTATCCTAATCCCAGTAGTCTGAATGAGATATAAGGGGTGGAAAAGACTTTGTTGCTTTTGCTGTCTTTTGCTGCCCCTCTCCAGACTGCCTTGGAGCTAGTTAGCTGAT